GGTTAGGGGAGGGAAGTGACTGGGGGGAGAGAGGGTTGGGGAACAGGGAGAGCAGGAGGGGGGTGGTGGGAGGGGGGGAGGCCGGGGCTATGGAGTGGGGATGTCTATGACACATGTCCCGTCTCTTCCCCCCTCCCCACTCTCTGGGGTCTCCCCCTACTGCAGATCAAATCCCAAGAGCTCTTTACCAGCTGGGTGGCCAAGCTGTGCTCCCACCGCCTGGCGGAGAAGCCCAAGTGCCCTGTGCCCACGGGGGGCCTGGATGGGCGAGTCCCGCCCCCCGCCCAGGTGAGCGCTGCCCATCCGCTTTGGGAGCATGGGAGGGGACTGGGGGTGTGTGTGTGAGGGTGGGCAGGTCATGGGAGATGGAACCCAGGCGTCCGGGCCTCCCCCTCCCCCTCTGGACAGAGTCTTCCCCAGGGAGCTCCCCTAACCCCCCTACCCCTGCGTCCCCCAGGGCTACGGCTCCCGGAACCGCGTCCTGCCGTCGGACGGCGCCCCGGCCCTGTCTGCGCTGACCAGCCCCCGGGACAAGGTGAACGCCTGGCTGAAGGACAGCGAGGGGCTGGATAGGTGCTCGGCAGGTGAGTGGGGCGGGACGGCTGGGGCCGGGGTGTGAAATCGGGGGGGACTCTGCCTCCCGACCCAAGGGGCCCTTTGGGCGCCCCATCCCCCTGCCCGAGCGATGGGGGCAGGGAGTGTGGCACCCACCTGCTCTTGTTCACCATGGCTGCTTCCCTATTTCTCTCTGTTCCTGGCCCCCGTCTGCCCCCCCCTCCCCTCCCCATCTCAGAGCTCTCCGAGTGCCAGGGGAAGCTGCAGGAGCTGAACAAGTTGCTCCAGAGCCTGGAGACCTTGCACCGCATCCCGTCCGCGCCCCTCATCTCCAACAGCCAGGTGACTGCGGGTGGGGGAGTTGGATCCTTCCTATGGGGCAGTGCTGGCCCCCTAGGGAGCTCAGCGTCAGGGATACCCTGCCGGGCAGCCGGGGGCAGGGCTGAGATCAGGGCACGTATTGCTGAGAGCGGAGACGGCCCCAGATCACAAAGGGGAGCGCAGGGGAGGGATCGTGCCCTGAATCCATGGTGATGGGCTCTGCACAGGGGTCCTAGGTGCAAAGGCATCCACATGGATGGCCTGGGTCTGAGCTTCCCAGGGGCTGTTGGCAGCGGGTGGGGCAGGGCAGTGGGGACTCAGATTCACTAGCCAGGTGCAGCATGGTTGTTAATTGGGCCCTGTGCTTCACCCCAGAGGTGGCTGCATTTCACACTCAGTGAGCGATCCCTGTGCACCGCTGGCTGTTTACTAGGCCCCATGCTTCACCCCAGAGGTGGCTGCATTTCACACTAGTGAGCGATCCCTGTGTGCTGCTGGCTGTTTACTAGGCCTCGTGCTTTCCCCCAGAGGCAGCTGCATTTCACACTAGTGAGCGATCCCTGTGCACCACTGCCACCTGAGTCTGCCCCTTGCCTTCCCCCACCACCCCCAGCACATCCGTGTTCCTTCCCCTCTTGCCAGGGGGGTCTCATGCTCTCTCTTTGGTTACAGGCCTCGGCAGCTGCAGAGAGACCCAAAAAGGGGAAGCGAACCACCAGGATGTGGTGCACCCAGAGCTTTGCCAAAGACGACACCATCGGCAGGGTGAGCGGGGCCCTGGGAAGGGCTCCGGCGTCGGCAGGAGGAGGGGTCTGCTGCTTCGACTTTCCCCAGACCCATGCGCTGCTGGGGTCGAAGGCTGGAGCTGGCCATAGGAGAGGCAAATGAGGGGGTTGGGGGAGGCCACAGCAGGAGACCCCCAAGGTGTGGCCACGAGAGCCCAGATCCCATGTGGTGCCGAGTCAGTGGGAGAGCCCTGCCCGCGCCAGATTCACCGCAGAGGCGCGGCCTAGTGGCTGGGGGGGCGGTCTCTGAGGACGGCGCTAAGCTGACGTACGAAAGGGGGGGATCTAACCCTCCCCCGCTCCGTGCCCCCACAGGTGGGCCGTCTGCACGGCTCCGTCCCCAACCTCTCGCGCTACCTGGAGTCGAGCCAGAGCCAGCCGGCCTTCAGCCTCCCCCCGGAGTACAGCCAGCTGCAAAGGAACTTCTGGACCCTGGCCCAGAAAGGTGGGATGGGTCGGCAGTGGGGTGGGGGGGACAGGCCATGGGGCCTGCTGCTCGGAGGGCACAAGCCGCCGCCGCCCGGGGAGACGCGCAAAGCGCTTTCCCTGGTCCAGCCACTGGGGGGAGACAAAGCTCAGCGCCGGGTGAACGTGGGGGGCAGCCTGACCTTGTCTCCCCTACCCCGTCCCGACCCCTTCTCTAGTGCACGGGTCCCTCAGCAGCGTGGTGGCCGCGCTGACCGCGGAGAGGAATCGCCTCCAGGAGATGCGGCGGGCGCTGGATTTGCAACGCCGGGCGGGCGGTGCCAGGAACGCAGCCGTGGCCGGGGTAAGGCACCGGGTGCGCGTGGGTCAGGCGCCGCGCCCTCCCTCTCTGCCACCGCGGGGAGCTGCGGGCCGATCCCAGCTTTGCCCCCCGGCCCCCTGGGTGGGTGGCGAGTGGGGACCTGAACCCGGCCACTCTGGCTGTGACACGTGAGCGGCTGGCGCTTGAGCTGAAGGACGAGGCTGCGGCCACTAGAGGGGGACAAAGACCCAGGCGCTTGTAGGCATCGGGTTAGCCGGGGTCTAGACTGGAGCGGGTGTCGCCGGGTAGGAGATCCTGCACTCCCCCCTGCCCAGGCACCCGCCAGCATGGAGGTCCCGCTAGCTAACGAGACGGAGAAGCTCCGGGTCCCGGGTTCGAATCCCGCCCGGGGCCGTAGCGACTGGACATATGGACCGTTGGGTGGCTCTGTGCAAGGCCTGGCTGGGTGACTGCGCTCTCGCCTGGGGGGGGGGTGTGGGGGGGGAAGGCTATGCTGTGCACCTGTGATCAGCAGAGCCCGGCAGGACCCGGCGGGGGGTGATCGGCCAGCCTCGGGGGGGGGGGGGGGAGGAGGGATGTGCTCCTAGGAACGCCCCCCTCCCCCTCAGCGTTCCCTTGTCTCCTCCCGGCCCAGGCTCCCTCGCACAACCCGGACCACACGGAGTATCTGCGGCGTTTCCACTCCCTCTCCATCTCCTCCGACGCCACGCTCGCCTCGTTCACCTCGCTGCACCCGGACGAGGTCAGGCGCCCTCAGGGGCGGGGGGGAGGGGAGAGGGAGAGGGGTTCGTGCCCCTCGGTGGAAATCAGGATCGGACGACGGAGGAAGCCTCCCCCCTCCCCCGTTCCCTCTCACGCCGGGATGGGCGGCACCTGTGGGTCGTTGCTGGGGCCATCGATGGAGCCGTGCTGCACTGAATCGCCCCACAGATGGTTGTCCAGTCTGGACGGGGGGGGGTGTCTCTCTAGCGTTGCCCCTTCAAGCCAGTCCTGCTGCTCCTGGTTCCCCGGGGGGAGCAAACCCGCCCCGCCGTGGGGAGCCTAGTCCCTCCAGGTGCCCCCTGGCCTCGCCCCTGCGGTGACTCCCCTTCTCCCCCCTCGCAGCCTGACGCCCACCTGGCCAAGGGGCGGGAGCAGCAGCTGTCCAATCGCAGCATCGTCTCGCTCTCGGACTCGCACACCGAGTTCTTCGACGCCTGCGAGGTCTTCCTGTCCGCCAGCTCCTCCGAGAACGAGGTGAGGGGCAGGGCTGGGGGGATCCCCGCTGCAGGGCCGTCCTGCACCTGAGCCTGGGCCCCACTGCCCTCTGCTGGCCGGGTTGTGTCAGCCGTCTATTGCTTCCCTCTGGGGTCCAGTCAGTGGGGTCGACACACCAGCGCTGACGTGGTGGCCGGCTGACAGCCGTGGCGTCGAGACAGCGGTGGTCCTGGGTCAGTTATACCTGGCCCAGGCCTGAGCAGTGAGACACGCACAGGTGTACGCACCTCTGGCCATGCAAACACACACACGTACCTGTGTGCACAGCCGTGCACAACCACTGCAAACACCTCCGCACACGCAGAGAGACACGACGGCCGTCGTGTACGCGGGCACACGCAGCCCCCACATCTGCACACGTATCCCCTCACAACAGCCACGCCCGCAGGTGCACACAAGGACACACACACACACACACACACACACACACACACACGACGGTCGCAGCGTGGCCATCTGGGTCCCAAATGATGCTGTGGGAGGAGCTAAGAAAGGGGGAGGGACTAGGGAAAGTGGGTGGAGCTAGAAGAAGCCATCCCATGCGAAAGCCCTGGCCCGGCTTTGTTTGCTGCTTTCCTTTCCTTGGCTGAGTTTGGGTTTTGTGGCACTCATCTGGCCTCTCTCTGTTCTCTCTCTCCCGTCCTCCTCTATGCCCTGGTCCAGCCGCTGGCTGAGAAGCCCCTTTCCCCCCGCCCCCCCATTCATTCTCGTGAGCTTTTACTTGTGTCTCGTGTAGACAGGACCCTGGTGCATAGAACCATTATCTCTAGAAACCACCCCCAGGTCCCACTCTGCCTCTCCCCCACCCCCCACTTCTCCCCCTTTAAACCCCCTCTCTGCTACCCCCCTACCAACCCTCCACCCAGATCCTGGGTCCTCCGCTACTGAACCCCCAGCTCCTGGATAACCCCCCTTCCCCATCACCTCTGCCTCCACGTCCTTGACTCTAGCCACCTCCTTCTGGGTGGGTCCGTCTTGTCTGCCCCCGGTGGTCTCAGTCCTGTCCCTAACCCTGAAGACCCCCCCACCCCAGTTTTAACCGCCCCCTCCCCCCATTTCAATCCCTTAAGAAGCCCCTAACACCCTGTGCAGTGTCCGACCAGGCTGCTATCCCACGCCCTGCCCTCTGGCTGTTAGAAACCCCGTTCCCCTCCTGAGTCTAGTGGGGGGTGCAGCTCCCCCCCCCCCCGTCCTGTCTGTGCTTTGGGGCAGGGGGATTCTGGCTCCCGGGGCTTGGGTTCCCAAATTTGGAGTGGGGTAGCAGCCAAATGCAGCCAGGGGCCAGTACACGGCCCTCTGCCCCCCCCCATTCTCCGGAGCCTGGGGGCTGCATCCCAGCCAGCCTGGCCAGTGGGTCTGACCTGTGGCTGGTCCCATGGGCAGCTCCAAGGGTCGGGGATTTTGCCCCACCGGCTCTGGGGGGGGGAGGGTGTTGTGCTTTAATCCTCCCTCCCGTCCACGGAGCCCTCGGCCTCCCACACCCCCACCCCAGCTCCTGTCGCCCTGCACCCGTCCCAGTCCCTTAGTTGCCAACCCGGCTTCTGTGACCTTTCTGCCCCTCCAGGCCTCCGACGACGAGTCCTGCATGAGCGAGGCCACCAACAGCCTCTCCGACGAGGCTGGGGGGGACGGGCGCTTCCAGAGAGGTATCCGCCCCGGGGGAAGGTGGGGGGTAGGATCACCAGGGGTTGGGGGAGGTGCTGGATGATGGGGGGGGCAATGGGGAGGGGGAGAAGCTGGGGGGCCAGTGGCTGGGGGGAGGGGAAGGGGACAGGTTTAGGGGGCAATGGCTGCGGGGAGGGGGCAGGTTAAGGGGTGATGGCTGGGGGAGGGCCAGGCTGGGGGGCTGATGGCTAGGGGAGAAGCTTGGGTCAATAGC